TTTCCAATTTGTTTCCATGGTTATATAAAAGTTCTTGCCATATCTTATTTCATTTGGTTACATATATGTCTGCGACGGCCTCAATTGCAATGAACCGTGCTACAATTAAGTTTATAGGCAACTACCAACTTGTTGGTTTACTTGCCTAACAGGAAAGCATTACGATAAATCACTTGGTTTTTCAGAAACATGTCAAAAATTAAAATATGCTACTGTAATGTACATTTTAAAAATGCATTTAGCAATTTTATCGGAATAATTTTGTAATTATTAGTCTTAGCCATAGGTGGTGAAAGTTAAGTAATTTATTGTAGCTAAATCTGAATGTGTGATGTGCCATTAGTGACTGGGGAAGGGTCAGTTTGAAGCCAAGTGCTTACCATCATCTATTTCTGTTCTATCTTAGGCCTTTGATGATTAACCATGCGACAGAGAGTCCGACTTCCAATCCACCAAAGTACAGCCGGCATCTTGCATTCCAGCCATCGACTAGTACAATCTCAGACTATGACCTGCAGTCTGTAAGTTTGTATTTATTTACTTTTTGAGGTAGCTAGTTTGTTGCAACTGTTGCTACCTGAGAGATGTTTGTTGGGAAAAAGTTTCATTGGCATCTCTATTTACACTCTGGAAGGTATTCCACCTCATCATCATTGTGATCACTTGGTCTGCTGGTCCATATTTACATACAAATTATCTCTGCTACAGTCACAGCTGGGTAGACAATTAGTTTCAGCTGTGTGTAAAATACATCTATAAACTGTGAAACCACATTGTATATTTTGTATTACATTCAGATTTATTGATTTGGGAAATGTTATGAATATGCACAAAATGCTCAAATCAAATGTTCACCAAAATTGAACCAAAACATTATAGGTTGTTGGTGTAGAATGTAGGGGTTCGTATTAATTATTTGAAAATACAGTTTTCGTGATACAAATTGTAATTCACAATATTGTCGTAAGAGGGCAAAACAAGATTCAACCTCATTGTACCATTTTGCAGTCGACACAATGTAAGACGTAGTTAGTTTGGTAATGTTTTTTATTGATCAAAAGTTTGTTCATCCAGAAAACATTTTTAACATAGTTTCTTATTTCTTGTTTCCGTCTGTGACCTTTCCTTTACATCTCTAACATTTTCTCAGAAATTCTGCAGCAGATATCGGGTATCAACTTGGCAGGTTGATGAACAAGTCTCTGTTGAATATGCTAGTAATTTTTTTTCCCAGATCTGAAAATCCTAATTGGGTCTTTTTCATGATTTTCATCCAAAATTACTTCTCCCAACAACACTGAGAGAACAACTGAGCATGCTCAGAATAAATAATTAGCTTAGATTGCAATGCTAGGGTTTTCAGTAATGTCATGACCTTGATCTGAATCAGTGACAGAAATGGTCAGTCTGGTTTTTGTTTGGTTTTATGAAAAATTAAAGCTGAAATCTTGAAAAAAGTGTTCAAAAAAGTTGTGTACCGTATTTGTCGGAATGAGCACCCATGCTCGGGCAAACGCGTGTTAACACGAGGTAAGCGTGTTCGCCGTTGTTTACATTTATTTTTCAAGATTTTTCATTAGAGTCATAACAGTCAGCAAGTCTACAAAAATGTGTATTAAAGCAAAAAGTATGTCGTGGCCCTGAAAAGGGTCGTTTGGTTTGTTTTTCCATAGAAACGATTCATGCAAATCTTAAGCATATGGAGAGCCATGAAGCAAGTGTCGCATTCGTTCAGCTTTAGCATCATCGACAATGAAACCGATGTTGCAATATTGTAGCAACCCATACCTAAGAGAGTGGTTGAAAGCGCGTTGTTTTGGCTTAATAATATATTTGCTAGCAGCTTGCAAATCCATAACTGGATAATTTTGCAATCTCAGGTCAAGGACTGCCAACTTTTTTACCATATTTCCTCACCGTTATTGCATGAAAACTATTCTTCTGTCATTGGATAAAAAAACATTTCCTATTTCAAGCCCATCACGATATCCATAGTGAGACATTCCAACCACCGGAACTTGCTGAACGGTAACTTTCACCATGATTGATGAGCGCCTAGTCTGATAAGAAAGCAATGTTGACTTGACCTCTATGAGCCATCACTGAAATAAAGTACTGTAATCATATAGATCGATGCTTAGCAGAGGTTGATGCAAACTGTACTGCCTGAGTGCATACTTTCTCACAAAGTTGAAGATCAGTGAAAACACTTTGCAGTTACTGTTTATAAATCTTGGCTAGGCACATTGACACATGTGGTCTAAATATAGCTTCAGTTGTCAGGGCTAATGGATAAATGGGTCATACCATTATGAATCTCAGTGGAAACTGTAGAGGGGTGTCAGGGCTACATTTTGATGGGAATTATAGTGGTGATACTGAAACCAACCCAGATCCTGGTAATATACAAAGACCTGAATTAATAAAGAAATCAAGTTGTTATTAAAGGTACTTCAACATATGTATGAGACATAGTTTGGTTGCACTTGTGTACTCTGAGATTTTGGACATGGGTCAATGGAAGTTTTCAGTACAATACTAGATTAAGGAAAATCACTTTATGACGAGTTGTACCAACATAGAGTACATATTAATTCAATTGTTTGCAGATGTTCCATGTATTATTTTAACATGAGTATTATATAATTAATGTGACATTCATGTCTTGTTTATCAATAATATTCTATTTCCAAAAGATAACTATGAACCCCTATTCTACACCAATGCCCATTATTATAAAGTATTAAATTAACAAGCTTTGATAATGCATAGTCCGCGTTTAGTATTAGCTGTAGTCGATGTAAGTGTTCAGTACAAGTGACATGTAGAAATGAAAGATCAATGTTTTTTTAACACTAACACAGATTGTGTTACTGTCAGTATAGTACATATGTGCCTACATAGAAACTTTTAACTGAATCGGACTATATCTTACAGAGTAAATAGCATGAAAGAAAAATGCAGCCTGTCGGGTATTGTTGTTCAAGTATATCAAAAATAAATATGGCTTGCACCGTAACCTAATATGTAAGGTCACCATATACAAAATTTGATTGAAAATGCCCTATTCAACTTTGTTACTGAATCAGGCCATATCGCCCTGTTCGCTCCAAGAAACAGTTTCGGACATATTACGGAATGTGATTTTATGTTGTTTTTTTTTGACAAAATGGACACCATTTTGACAAATTGGATCAAATCTCAAGACAAAACATGTTGTTGTGTTACCTTGCAGTATACTACCTACCTATGTACAAACTTTCAAGTGAATCAGGCCATATCTTTCAGAGGAATCGGCACAAAAAAGGAAAAAAAAAAAAAAATGGCAGAAAGTCAGTCCAAATTTTGAATAAAAATATGACGTGCACAAGTAAACCAATATACATGATCATCATACATACTGTGAAAGGGTTAATCATTCACTGGGTTTTAATTTTGTTTATTTCGCTGACTGGAAAATGCGCTAAATTAAACCCCAGTGAATATGTAAAATGTAGCATAGAACACATTATTTAAATGATTAATCCGTGAATTTAAAACCCAGTGATAATGCCTGAAATGCTAAATCAGCGAAATTTAAACTCAGTGAAAATTAGTAGTTTGATTGAAATCACCCTATTCAGCCCTTATAAACAGTTCCAGACACGTTGCAGACTGTGATTTTAAGATATTAAACAAAATGGCTGCCATTTCGACAAATTTGATCAAATCTCAAAACAAAACATGGTGTTGTGTTATCTTGAAGTATAGTACAAACTTTGAACTGAATCAGGCCATATCTCATGGGAAATCAGCACGAAAACATAAACAAAACAAAATGGCCACCAGTCGGCCATCTTGGACCGAATCTTGAAAAAAAAATCTAAATCTAAAAAAAAGTGGCATGCACCTATAACCCAATATGAATGATCACCATACAAAGTTTGATTGAAATCACCCTGTTGAGCTCCGAGAAACAGTTCCGGACACATTTAAATATCAAAATTTAGCAAATTTGAAGGACAAAATGGCTGCCAGTCAGCCATATTTAATCGAATCATAACGAAAATTAGTGTGCATATGTAGGTTATCATACATTGTCTGTATGCCAAGTTTGAACGAGATCGGTCTAAAGGTGTCCGAGAAAGAGCTCCGGACTACGCATGGACGGACGGACGAAACCCAAATTAATATAACTCGTTTTTGGACCTGGTTCGAACGAGGACTAAAAAGACTAGTATTAATGCCAGCTGACTTTTTTCTACATTTATTTTATTCAAAGTACAACTTACAAGACACGAAATACAAAAAATAAAACAAACACAAATTACAAAACGGAAGCACACACTCCGTCGCTGTTTGAATCCATAGGAAAAAAAAAAAGTTTTTATGCTTCAACCAGCATTAAATATAAGCAAGAATGTTTCTCCATTTTTGGGTGAAAAATGCAGCTGACTTTAATATTGGTTAAACAATTAAACTTGACACCCTGTATTCATGCCATCTTGTATTTGGATAATAGACTGTGTTTGGTTGCTGCTATTTGTTATTCCCAAAATTATCGAGTTATCTAACAGGGATCCAAACAACTGTCAGATGTGCAACTTGTGCAGCAATGAATGAGTGATCTGAAATAATGAAAAAAACGTGGTTACATCGATCACTGATGAATTGGGAGTGATGTATTGTGCGAGGTTTGGTTCATTTTATTCTGGTAACGCATGCCTGTAAAACTCCAGCCATTACTGCCAGATTATTGTTATGTGTAGTAATAACTGTTCTATATAATGAACATTTTATAATACCCTGACATGCTTGTCCATGATTTCCCAATAGTTGTTGAAGCAAGGTGAAATATATATGGTTTTGTTATGATCTGCGCTGGGTATGTCAAGGGCTGCCACTATTCTTTATGGACTGGATACGGCCTTTGCGACCCAAGGTCGTGTGGTGGGTGTGTAAGCTGTACGACTTTGGGCAACAAAAGCTGTTTCCAGTCCATAATAGTTTTATCATATAGGTGTAATTACAATTTTACCACGGTGCGACCTCAAACACTATTGTTTTGATTGATGAAAACCAAGCACGCTGGGCCGAATGTGATTCAGGAATTTATTGCCCTGATATGATGGCGCACTTTCCGTGGTGTTACGAGGCCTTGCAATACATACTTTTCATTCCTTGAGGTTGTATCTTTTTTTTTTCAGCTACAGCCAAGCGACAGTGAAGAGTTTGAAACAACAGAGCATTCCAATGGTCCTATAATTTCTGATGTAACAGATTTAATTTCCCCGAATGAGGTAGATGAGAATCAAAAGGAGTCTGGATTTGTTGAGGATCATACAAATGAGAATGAAGTAGAGAAACTAGCAGAAGCCTTTCTACCTGAGGCACAGTCGCGGCTTTTGTTGGATAAGATATTGGATGCACCTGTTGTATCTGAACCTTCTATTGACTCAGCTTTGACGTCTTTACCTATGGGTATTGATCTGGAACCCCCAGAAACCTTATTAGAAGACGATGCTGCGACAAGTGATGGTAATCCTAATAACCAAGATAGTGCCAATCTCTCAACCTCAAATAAATCAGATGACAGGGATATGACTGTGGCGCTATCAAATGCACATGCAAGCTCCGCTCCTGTCAGGTACAGTGTTCAATTTCTTCTAAGCTATAGTTGTTATCATTCTAATATATGCATTCCTTCATGCTTTGTGTATTTTCTGTCGGAAGTGTACTTTAAAAAGTAACTTAAAATCCACCCAGACATTTTGTTATAATTCATATTATTCGAAAATTAATATTCAGTCCATATTTCTTTATATCTAGAAACTGAACTCAGTTAAATGAATGATTTTGTTGAAATTGTTTTAAATCATGAATTTAGCTTGTAATCCTTCAAATCCTGAATTTAGCTTGAAATATTTTTAATCTTGGATTTAGCTTGTAATCCTTCAAATCCTGAATTTAGCTTGCAATCCTTCAAATCTTGAATTTAGCTTAGTAAAAGTGATAATGTCAACTTCTATCGGATTACCTTGATATTATACAAATAGGTATCTCAGGCAGACCTCTCTCAGATATTTTCAATCTGTGATGATATTTTCAATTCTTTAATTGAAATGTGCATTGCTAACAGCAAAGCTATCTCAGTCGAGAGGCTGCTTGTCTAAGATTGATTCATCACATTATAATGAAACTGGGTACATTTTTTCCCTGGAACAATACACTGGCCTAATTAGTTTGGGTTGAAATCTAAGAATAACAATTTACTAATTTGCATAATTACCCTATCTGTTAACTCAAAAAAATCAGATTTAAATTGAACTTGTGGTAG